AAACATTAAGACCATCTCCCGTTTGAACAAAGCCCTGCCCGGAGCTCTTTATGCCTGCACAGCACCCACCTGCAGGTGGGGTACCGTCACCGAGGCACCCAGCGCTGCCTCATCCCATCTTTTCCCCAGGCACCTTTTGATGCCAGCACCACCGGGATCGCTCCCGAGCCCTTTGTAGGAAGGGCTGTGAGGCAGAGGGGGCCCGGCTGTGCCACCAGCCCCACACCAAGGCCCCGCAGGCCACTGTGGCTCTGCGCCACAGGCCCGGCCGTGCTAATGAAGCAGCGAGGCACCGCGGGGCACATGCTCCTTGGCCATCGCAGCCGCCCTTGGACACACTGCAGAGAGCAAGGCTGAAGCTTAGCAGCGTTAGCCTTCCAAGAGCTGCTTTAATTGCCCAGTAATGCACACCCTGGGGTCTTGTAATGTGCTTCTAATATGGAGCATTTAAAGTATGGATACTCCAAAACAATTACGAGGAGTTCAGTGCTCCAACGTGTGTACCCTTCCACTCTGAGAAATAATCCATGACAGGGGAATGTCATCGAAGAGAGAACACCAGGACTTGCAGCAGGACAAAGCTCTCTTCCTTAGGGTATTTCACTTGGTCCTTCCAAGATTAAAAGAACTGCTAGATCGGGACCTCCAGATGGCTCAGACCTACCTCATTTCCCTCTGATCTGCCCTAGTTTCTGAAGACTCTTCCAGCAATAGTAAGAGTAGAGTAACCACAGAGTATGTCAGTCTACAAGACAGCCTGGATAGAAATGTCAGAGAAGTGAGGGATGTTTCTTATGATCTGTCATTCTTTTAGCAAATAACTCCTGGACAGGTTTAGAAGAGATTTTTCTCATTCTTGTTTACAAAGAGAGAAAATTGGGCTTCTCAGAAAGGATTATATCTCAGCTAATTCTATCTTTTAATATTTTTTTCTACATTCTTGACCAAATTTGATTCGAGCTTGTTACAGTTGTCATATTACAGGAGTTGACTTTTGTCTGTCCATCTGCATTCAGAATTGGTAAAAGGAATTGCAGTAGAACTGCCCCAAATAACAAAACAGAAATCAAACACTGGAGATTCCCAATCTAATACAGAACATTTAAGGAAATCAGCTCATTTGGAAACAGGCAGTTGGTTTCAGATGGAGCTGTCTGAAGTATTAACTCTAGAAAGAGTTACTACCAGCCAACCATAGTAACTCATGAAATCTAGGAATGGATTTATAATTCACGGTATGATACTACGTACTGTAATGACATTATATGCCATTACTTAAGATAATATCACGTATTAAATTCAGATGGTGAAATGAAGTTCGGTTGCTTTACTGCCATCAAAGATCTATAAATGTCCTGTTGCTGAAACTTCAGAAGGTTCTGCATTAAAGCTGTGTGTATTCTCCGAAACTCAAAATAGACAACTTGTGCAAAAATCTCCCACTGGAAAATGAAAAATGGGAATCTACAATAAGTACCAGTTTATGCCCCTAATTAAACACAAATGCTGTTATTGGAGTCACTGACTGTGATGGAATTTAGAGCAGGGATGAAATTAGTCCAAAGTGACAATTTCTTTTGGAGAAAAGAAATACCTCCGAAAACATTGGCATTTACTTCAAGAAATCAGCACTGCTGGCTGGTATGCCAAGATTTGAGCTGAGGAAGTGTTCTTCAAAATAAATAAATAAGTAAAAAAGGCATGTCTTTCTCCAGTGTCTAGAGGCAAGAATGAGGCATTAAAAGCAGCAAGAGGCAATCAATGTTTTGCTCCCTCTTACAGAGCAGTAATGCAGTATTCCTAGGTTTGGGGCAGCAGTGCTGGCTTAGTGCATGTTTCAGCCTCCAGTAAGGGTGAGCTTTCAGCCATTCTGAAGTTTAAAGACTGCATTATTATGCTGCATCTGTTGCTACAGGATCAGGTCAGCTTTGTTCATCTTTCATCTGCTGTTTCATTAGGTGGTCTCGCGTACAAGACTCACTCGAAGCCTGTCAAAGTGACAGCAGCAATTCCTGGGGACACTGCTGTTTATCACTGTCCCTAAATGAAGTGACCCAGGGTGATGCACTGCTGTATCCTGTACTTCAAGTTAGGGTCTGAAAATTCTCTTCTTTCCTTACAATACCAGAGTTATGTCATGACTGCATGGCACAGGAACGCTGCTGGGGAAAGCCTCTTCATGACCTGCCTCTTCTTTTAGCCATAGGAAACATCTTCTACCCCAAACCTCATTAGGTTCAGCCATTCGATGCCAGAAATGGGTTGAACTGCAGGCTGCAAAACCAGGAGCACTCCCCTTTGCTCACTGCTCCCAAACACTTTCTCTTGACACAAAACCAGTTTTATTTTCAAGAGGGGAATGTTTCCTGCAGAGCCTTTCACCTCAGGATGACTAGCTGCAGCTGGCCCTGGTTGGTAGCGACTGAAAATCATTACCAGCTGTCGGCTACTTGGTGAAACGAGCTGGTGAGTCTCACTCCAGCTCCTTATGGACACATCTCAGTACACATAGCTGCAATGGGCACTAACTGGCATTCTCAGCTAAGAGCCCAAGCACTGAATGGGGAAGGAAACTGAAGCTTCCTTTTCATCCCTGCCAGGGTTTCTGAAGCATTATGGACAGGACTTTTATACCACCGTGGTTTCCCAGGCTGTTTTTATTCTAAATGTCTTCTGGAAACGTGGTAATTCCCATGCAGCATGATTCAGCACAGCCTCGCTGCCTGTCTCTCTTAACGAGGCTCACCCTATGGATCCCTCCATAGAAGCCGAACTGCCTGCTGCCACCTCCCTCTATGAATGGCAAATCTGATGTCATACCTCAGTATGAATGGGGCTGTCTGATGTCATCGCAGTGCTAATAGGACATTTTATAATATGTCAGCTGAGGCTCCAGGGGAAATCTTCCAATCCATTCACTATGCTGCACTACAATAGAACATCACATAGTATGATGTGTACGTTAACTTGGACACCCTCGGGCAGATTTGGGAGGGATGGATGGATGGATGGATGGATAGATACATTTATACAAAGTATACATACATTATATCACTCTATTGATTTTTAAAAAGTTCCAGGTCTGCCTGGCTATAATGAGATTTTTGAACTTTGTGTTGCGATCAATGAGGGGAATATTATTGGCCTGGAGAATTGATATACCCGCTCTCTGTGGCTTGTTCTGCTCCTGGACTGCCCCTGCCCCCAAGGTGTACGATTCCATCAGACACTTAACCTCTTTTACAGTGTCATCAGGCTAAAAGGAATCTAATAGTGACACGGGACTTGTGCTCAGCACTCTGGCACTATTGCTTTCCTGTCACAAATAATTTATAGCTTTCTATTTCCATCCCTTTGCCTGCACCCCATCCCCTCTTTCTGTTTCTCTGGGCTGGGGGAAATCAATAAACTCACACAACCAGAGTGGCACTTCAGGGGGCTTTAGGGGGAATGTGAGAGGAAAGAAAAGAAAAAAGAAAAAGTAGAAAAGAAGAAAAAAGTTGTGTTATTTGCCCTAGCACAGACTTCTCAGATCAGCTCCTCAGCTAGTGCAAACCTGCGTGGTCTCAGAGTCTGGCCCAAGGCCCGAGGCCCTCAGAGCCCTTCTGTCCAGGCCCTCAGCAGCTATGGGCTAGGCACCACTGAGCTATATGGGGTGAGGATCTGGATGGATCTCCATCCCCAGCCAGATCTTTGACGCTACCTGTCTCAGCTAAGTCCCAGGCATCCTCTGCCACTCCAGTAACTGCCCAGGTTTCACCATCTCTCTGAGTTTCCTAACAAGCTGAGGTGTTATGCTCTGAAATACCTTTCTTTTCCTACAAGGCTTCACTCTGCAAAGCTTTTTCAAAAATATCCTCTCAAAGTCTCTGCCTACCTTTCTCCATGCCATACTGCCCACCAGCTGTACAGTTGCTCTTTGAAGTGTTGCCAACACTTTCTTTAGAATGAATTTTTAAGAGAAGTGCTTGGGTGAGCAGGGAGAATACATTATTTGCTTGCACTTTTTGGAGAGATTTTTGGGGAGAGGTTAAAGCTAACACAATGCAGGGCTGACAGTTCCAGAAACTAAGCCTAAAGAGCATCTGCAGCCTTCATCCTAATTGGAGAGGCTTGATTTAAGCTGGGAAAGGAATTTGGTCTACACGGCCTTCACAGGTCATGGCTTATTTGCTGAGTCCCTTGGTGAGACAGTTGTTCTTGAGTCACAGCCACCCAGCATCTGCCAGCAGGCAGGGCCCCCTCAGCCAAGTATTAGGTGCTAGTGATTTTCTTTCACCACAGACCTCAGCTGGATTTAAACCAGTGACCTAGAGGTGAAAGATTTCATGTAACAAGAAATGGAGCACCAACGATTGCAGTTCAGTTTGTGTTCATTCCGAGCTGCATTATGAGCTCTGTGGCATTCACCAAGACGTCTTTTTGGGTTCCCAGGCTGCGTTCCTGCACTACCTGATAAGCATCAGTGCTGTCTGGAGCTTCTTTTTCCTGTGACCTATATCCCATCACCACTCCCCACAGATGCCTTCTGCTCTCCTTTATAAAGGGCAAGGGCTTTGGGAAAGCTTTCCATTTCAGTTCAAATCCCTCAGTTCTATGCCAGAAAGGTATTTTTGAAGTACACAACAAAATGAAATCTACACGGTTTGTTAATTCAGCAGTGGCTCTACTAACTGCAAAGGCTGCCTTATGACCACGCTGGCAGATCAGATCATAAATGATAATGCAGTTGCTAACTCATAGGAGAGGCTGGATCCCAGCTTGCTCACTGAGCACTGTGGCTATGTGGGTTTGGGAAGAAGATGGCAGAGTACGGCAAGGACAATTCTTTGGGAATGAGACTGTTAAAGCAGGAGAGTCACAACTACAAAAAGACATAAGGGGCCACTCTGCTGCAGCCGGTTGTCAGGTGGGATCTTCAAGTCCTGACAGCTGGGATTGCGGGCACTAAGAAGTTGCATGAGGAGTTGAGTTCTGAACATGTTTTGCTCTTTTTCCAGGATTATCAGAACCAAAGTCCAGCAACCTTTTCACCCAACACCAGATGGGAGCGGGACAGGTGTGACTGCACCGGGACATACTATCGGTAAGGAGACTGGCACGAGGCGAGGGGTGGCGGCAGGACAAGTGGAGATGAGAATACGCTCAGCTGAGGGAACAAAGGCTGACGAACAGATGCTAGGGAGAAAGGAGGTGGAGTGAAAGAAACCTCAACAAAAATCAGAGGTTCCTGTTCTCTGTTGCCCTAGCTGCATTGCAGAGAGCTTGCCCAAATAAATTTGCCCAAAGCGATCCTGCCTCTACATCCATTTCACTTTCACGCTCTCTCCTTCACCTCCCTAGAGAGAAGTATTTACCGCTACCCTACCTAAGCACCAGCCTTCATTTTTTGTCTCTTTCTTTCTCTGACTTGCTTTCCTCCCCTCTCCCTGTTTCTCTGCTCTCCCTTTGCCGGAACTGGTCCATCTCTTAGATAGCACTACACAGACCAGGGTACAATATTCCCGACACCTCACAACCGAGCCCTTTGTTGTTCTAGCTCTGCAGTCAGGTATCCCATGGGTGTATTTCACTGAGAAAATGCATTTTCTGCTAGGGGAAATGGGTTTATTGAGGTGAGCAGAAGATGGAGGCTGTAATAAAGCTACCAAATACCTACTAGTCTGTTGTGTTTAAAGGTCCTGTGCTAGATGTGTGATGAGGTGTTTTTCACCGATGTCTCTGCGGGCTGCATGGTGCATATGTCTGCTGCTGCTAGCATCACGTTACCCAGTAACAAGTCAGAGCAGTAGGAAAAATGCAGTGTTCTGGGATATTATGGCTTGTCTGTGGCCTAAGACACTGTCTGAGATACTGTTGGTTACTGAGAATCAGCTGCTAAACGAAGATTTACTGGAAAGTGCTGTCCTATATGGGACAGAGCTGGCAGATAAACTCCTGTACATGAACTGTGTTCAGGAACACAATAGAATTAATGGCCCAGGATGGAAGAGCATTTCTGGATGCCCTTTTAATCTGGACTTGCTCACTGGCCTGGGAAGCACTGACCACACCAGATGGAGTTGGCAGATATTCTTCCTTGGAGAAGTAGTGCAATGTCGAGGGAATGCCCTGGCTGAGCCGGGATAGGGATCGTGAGTGCTGCTGCTGGAGTCTCTCATCGCTCTGGGGGATACTGGGAAGTGTGGGTCTCCATCGGATAGTGTTGGAAGGTTCTCTCCATCCTGGAAAGCTTCTGTTGGATGTGCTGACTGCTTCAGTTCAGTGCTGAATGTGAGCTGAATGATGAGTAGTGGTCTATAAGGGTATTGGGGTATTCTCCTAATTACTGGGGCATGTTGGGACATAATGGGCTTGCAGACCGGATGCATAACTCTAATTGGTTTATACTCTAAAGCCCTAATTATCAGGAAGTGATCATTTCTAATCTGGGTGACTTGTTATTTCTGATACACTGAAAGTGAAGAGCAGTCCTGGGCACCCCTGAGTGGCAGGAGGAGTCTGCCAGTTTACATTGGGCGGTGCAAAAGAAAGACACAAGGCTTTTATTAATCCGGATTGGAGTACGTATCACCAACTCATGGCTTCTTCTACTGGAGAACTGGATTTATTGGCCCAACACTGACAAGCTTCTAACCTATACTAAGAAAAGTTGATTTTTCATTGAGTGTTTTGTGTGGACACCTAAGAGGCTGGTCTGGCTAAGACAGAGTACATGCACACAGCGTGGAGAAATGCTGGGAGGGATCCATCTGGCAGAACATGGGTAGCCTGGGAAGTCACCAGGGGATGTGGCCTGTGCAGCACTGCACGCAGTTACGTGGCAAGCACTGCAAAGCCTGCTCTGAAGGTGGATGGAACAACGAGGCTTAGCTTCTGGCTGGAGTGTGCTGGCTTGTTATTACGGGCCCTGTACTGGAAGGCTGTGGAGCTATGGTACAGGCTGGCAAAGCTGGGATGCAGCAGTGTTGGCAGAGCAGTAGTAGCGTGAGTCCTGCAGTGTGAGGGACTGGGAGTTGGTTTAGTGCCCAGGCATTCCTGTGAGACTGGTGGCATGTGTAGCTTTCATCTGGGGGATCCCTGAGTGCTGGCTGCTCTCCTCATGGCCCTTTTTCCCTTTTCCTTTTGTCCAGTGCCCAGCACAGCATCCCCTCCCGTCTCCAGTGCCTCCAATGATCCAGTGGGCTCTTACTCCATTAACGGGATCCTGGGGATTCCTCGGTCGAATGGCGAGAAGAGGAAACGTGATGAAGGTAGGGGGAGGGCAGAAGCTCACCCTCCCTTTTATATTCTTTGTCCCCATGTACAGGCTCCAATTTCAGGCCGAGGTTTGCAGCTGCTCCAGGGGCTAGATCAGTTTTAGCAACAGAGACCAGTTCCCCGCCACTGCCCTGCTGGCTCGGACTGCTGTTCTTCCGAGGCCTTTTCATGACAGGCCGTGTCTCCGGACATCTGCTCGGCAGGCATAGAGCCGTCTCCATTGCTGGAGCTGATCCCAAGTTCATTCACTGCTGGAAACGGCTGGAACTGAGCTCTCCTGGTGCCAGCAGGTGCCCAGACTTTGAGCTGTGGGTAAACAAGGTTTCCCCGACTCCCTCGTTTTCAAACAAAATGCCATCTGAGAGAAGCACCAGCAATTTGGGAGTATTTCTCATTCCTCTTGCAAACAAGCTCCTGTCCTGGTGGTGAGCCATGAACTACACCAGCTGTGGTGATCAGAAGGGCCCAGTTTCCAATAGGTAGCAACCACCACAGCAGAACTGCCATGCTCACAACCATCAGAGAGCAGAGTGGGAGCTCTTCTGAGTGCTGTGGCCCTAAGGATGTTATCCAAGCCTTTCAGTAGGGCTCTAAGTAACTAGGATTAAGCTGTCTCCTTCTCTTTCCTACCTGTTGGGAAGGACTCAGGGCAAAGTGAATCCCAAAATGAGCCAGAAGCTGGAGCCTTGGGTCCAGATAGACAGTCAGGATGGGTGGGTGAGGTCTTGGTGCATTGATGGTGGCTTTGTAAAATTTTGTCTTGCTCTTCTAATTTGATGCATTCAAAAACTGAGGACCAGGTGGTGAACTTTCTGAGTAGTGCCTGAGCAGTTTGTTCGGTTCAGCCCTGGCTTCAGGATGTTGTTTTCCACTGCTGCCCATTGCGTGGGGGACATCTCAGCAGTAATGGTGGCTCGCTGTGCTGCGCGTGCTGTAGCCCCCAGGCTGTGTGGGGTGACATAATACCAGGGTCTCTGTGATTCATGGCGAGAGGAGAGAGTTCTCCTGAGAGAGATGCTGCACTCTGGGGTTATGCCAGTCATTTTCTCAGCGTTGGTGCTGGTGAGGTTCACGTTTCTAAGTTCTGGATCCAAATAAACAATAGTCCCAAGAAAAAGGCAGACATTGTGACCCCTTTCTCCCTCATACAAAGTAAAACCAGAGGCTGGAAGCAAAGACCCACTTCAGTTCCTATCAAAGCAAATGGGAAGATTTTTGCTGATGCCATTGGAAATTGGATCAGGCCCCAGAGGAAGATCCATTTCCCAGCTAGATGGCAGTAGGGCCCAGCTAAGAGAAAAGTGTAGCAATGGAAGGGCTCAGTCAATGCCTCAAAGTCAAAAAATGTCACAAGTAAGAGACTGCAAACATTGCAAGCCTCTCCAGCATTTCTCTTCATTACATACAGAGGGAACAGTGACATTTCAAATCGAGTGACAAGTTTCTCTAATGATTGTGCAAATCTCTTGGCAGTATTTGGGGTTTCTGTGAACCCCTGTCCTCATGCATTCCAGCTTGGTGATCACAAGCTCTCACCACGGTGCGTCCATATTTCATTTTGAAATGAAGCAGTTCAATCCAGCTTTAGCAGCTATTCTTTCCAAACACCTGGAACAATCATCCTACTTAGATGCAGCCACGCAATCATTGCCAGCCCCAGAACCTGAGCTTTTTGGAGCAGTATGGTTAAACACAGAAACAATCAAACAGACATCTAAGCCTGTGACACTTCACAATGATATATTGACAGTAAGAACAACTCTCTGTCTCTGTCCTTAATTCATCCTGGACTTGATTTATGAAGGGCAAGAAACACTGCAACTCCCTGCTGTTGGCCAGGAGCCCGCATAACCTACTAGAAAAATCAAAAAGGTATCAGACAGTCATGGGGGTGTTAAATCTCAGAGTTTTAGGTGCCAGTTACATGACACAACTGCAAATGCCTTGCAGAAGAGCCTTCATTCTGCCACCCCAGGTATCTGCCTCAGGGAGATGTCACACTCCTGCCCCAGAGAAACCTCAGCCAGCTGCTGAACATCCCCATCCAAGAGCTGATAACCTGTGCTCACACTGGCTTTAAGAAACATTGAAAGACATCAACCACTCTGCAGGGCTGGGCCCTAATGCTAGAAGGTCCAAGGGGAGGTGTTGCACAGCCAGTGACCTGCAGTCCTTCCTGGGCATCCTCCCCCGTAGCTCTGAGGGCTGAGTGCTCCTAGCTGAGACAGGAGTTAAGAAAGCAAGTCCAGAAGACCAGTGCAGGTATTTCCTTCATGCTCATGCTGGATATATATACCTTCTCGGTATTTCCCAGAGCTTCTAAGCTCTGTCTTGTTGCAGTTTCTTAACTGTAGGATTCATTCTCGTGTTGAAAAGCTCTTCCTTACAGGCTCTCAATGCACATTTACTTTCCCAGCCTTCTGGAGGTGGCCCTTCCCTAAAGAAGGCAGAAGCAGCAGCACTGCGCTCTCTTTCTTTCTGCTCCATTGGGCCAGCTCTGCTGCAAGATGACGCTTTGTGAGGAATGCAGTTCAGCAGAAAGAGGGGAAGTACCTAGGTGCTCCTGAATCCCCAGCCCTGAACACCTTGTTAGCAACTTCTGTGATGGCTGGGGGAACAGGGTGGGAGAAAGACAGAGTAGCTTCAATCTGAGCACGCCCCCTCCCCCAGGTCCTCCTCGCTGCAGCTGGTGCCTACATTAGACAGCAGCGCAGATGATTAAGAAGAGGAGAGATAATTATGTGTCAAGATGATGTAGCAGAACTCCCGAGTTGGACAGAAGGAACCAGACGGATGCATGAGGTGGGCTCAGCGATGGACGCTGACAGCCAGGTGTGTCCCTCCCAGGGAGTTAGAGGGAAGAGGGGAAGTCCCAGTGTACCAAATGTTCTGGCTTCTACCAACCGGGTGGCCTGGGAAGACAATGGCATTGAGAGAGAGCTACCAGGGACATAGATCTGAGTGTGTCCTGGTCCAAACAAAGAACTGCCCAATCACGCGTTTTTCCCCAAAACTCATTTGTCTTCTTCAGGTGAGTGCCTTGGAAGCATGGTCAGGACTTTCCCTGTTAAGAACCTGTATCCCTTTTGTTTCCTGACCTCAGTGCCAGATTAGACAAAGCAGAGAACTGGCCTCCTCTGATTTTGCAGATGGTTTGGCTAAACAAGTTAACCACCACTTGTCTAGCTGTGTGCCATTCCTTGCAGGCTGCAGGCCCAGCCAGCATTTCTGTAATTCCCCTCTGACCTTTTCCACCAATTGCATCCACCACCTTGCAGAGGCAGAGGTGGCCCAGCAGCATGTTAGGCCTTTCCCAAGACCACCGAGAGCTTTAGTCCCAAGCAGGAATCCCTGGCTCCTCACAACCCTGATATTGCACTACGTGGTGTGGCAGGCCAAGCTGAGCAGGGTCATTGTCAGACTCGGGAGCAGCAATGAGAAGTCCAGGAGGATAAAGGGGGAAAACAATATGCAAATATTTCTGTTGTTCCATAACTCCCTGACTGATAGCTAAAAGGATTAGAACTGGGGTAGCAGTGGCACTAACAAAAAATCAGTAGCAGTCCAATACTGTAATATTGAGTACTATATAAAGAGAAAATGGGAGAGGATAGATACGTGGATAGATAGATAGCCAGTTAGATAATATGAGAACAATGTTTCCAGCTGTTCCCTGCATACTGTAGCATCTCCAGCTGTGTCAAACTTCAGGTATCTTTACAAAACCACTATGATTAAAGATAGCTCTTCCTCTTCAATAGCAGGCCACAAACATACTTCCTCCATAGACCCAAATTCTCATTTGGGATTCGTGTTCCAGGGAGGCTAGTGCTGTAACAATTCTCAGCATTATTAATCTTGGTCCCTGACAATATCTGTAGTATTTGACAGCATTACTGGCAATAATATCTGCAGTGCTGACAATGGCAGAGATAATATCCCCCAGTATTATCGGCATTAGCAGGGATCATATCTGCAGCCTGTTATTGGTGGGAGCAGACGTAATGTGTCCAGTATTATTAGTATCAGCAGTAATAAAACCCACAGGCTTGTTAGTATGATCAGTGCTAATATCGGCAGTAGGTTTGTGGGAGAGGAGGGGATGGAGTGATTGCTACTGTAAATGGCAATAATACTCAGGCTGTTTGCAGTAAAGGAATCCCCAGCGGAGATGGGGGAGCGAACCTTGGAAGGCAGAAGTTCCTCCTTTCCTCTCTTCACCTGTCACTTTGATGATCAGAGTGATTTACGCTGAAGCAAGTGAGGCAGGGCTGCGTCAGTGCAGGGGACAGTGGAGGGTCACCACCATTTCAGCAGGTCAGGTGGTGTTTTTCAAAGAGTATGGGTGTATCGATGCAGGCGATTCACCTGCTCCTCAGAACAGGGCTGCAGGCCATGGCACTGAGCTGCTCAGAGCAAGGAACTGCATGCAGCACAAGGAGCACTTGCACTGTCGGTCCTGTAGCTGCAGAACAGGCAGTGTCACTGCGGTGCTATGCTTCACCTCGGTGCTGCACACATCATTTCCTGACTCTTATTATCTCGGCATCTCTGCTGAGAAGCATTACTTTTGTTACAGGTGGCTTTCTCTTCTCTCAGTCCAAATGACAGGACTCTGACTGCAGGGCACGGTTTTGACAGCAATCAGCATGGGGATTTTCCTACCTGGCCATGATGTCTATGTTCCTACTGGGAAGGCAGAAATGCCTCCTCTGGGTGGAGTGTGAGGCAGGGAGAGCTGCAGCAGTCCCAGTCCAGAAAGGTGTTTTTGGAAAATTTTTAATTGAATTGTTCCAGTGAAAAGTAGTGCCGAGAGGAGAGGTGTATAATGTGTTCACAGCGGTCCCAGTTTTTAAGCAATATACAGCAGCTGAGTGTGTCAATGCAAGTATTATCCCATTTGTGTTGTTCAGAGCAGCAATGATTATATCGTTTAGGAGCAGTGGTTGTGACATTTCAGGTGCCTCCATGTCATTGTCAGTGCCACCGGTGTGTCTTTGCAGACAGTGTGACTGTGGTTATCATGTTGTGGGCTCGTGACACTAATGATGAGATTAGGTGTATCACTGCTTGCTACGCTGCCCCACTACACTTGAGGCCATTAGGCTCTTCAAAGAGGTGGCTGGGAAGGCGGTATGTCTGTGTCACCGCACGCAGCAATGTTGTTTCAGTGAAGTAGCTGCTGGTTGGTGGCTGTATTGTACTGTCATTGCAATTCATGCAGTTGTTCCTGCAGCTGATGTAATTTGCTGACTGACAACAGACTGTCATCCGGTCATGATAGCGAAGTCAATAGGGCTGTGTCACCGCAGCACTGCACTGAGCATCGTGTGTTCTCGTGAAGTACAATCCTGTTGTTCCACAACACACTGGGGTTGTTTCGGGACACACAGCATGCTTACATTGTCCTCTGCAATATGATTACGCGTTACTCGTGGTGTAGTTGTACTAGTGCAGAGAGGTCTAGCTCTTAACTAGCCTGTATGGAAAGGCATTTGCTTTCGTAAGCTACTTCTACATGTTTACAAGCCGCTCCACCTGACTGTATCGTGACATCTGGTGTACATTCATCTCAGGGTGCAATAGGTGTACTTCTGCTCTGCCAATACGGCTGCTGAAGACAACACAGTGTGTTTGGACCCCTGCAGGTGACACAACAGCATTACTGTGGTGCGGCTGCATTGTTTCAAGCTGTGATTTCCTGCCACCACAGCTGATGTGTTTGCATTATTCTATATGTTTGCTTTATTGCAGGTCAGCAGTAGTCTGAATGACACTGCAGACACGTGCAGTTACATTGCCTCAGGTGCCAGCCCCATGTTCCAACCACTAAACACAGCTGTGGGGTGTGCACCCTGCAGCTTATGGCTGTGCACATGGGCTGAGAGCAGTTTCTGGAGTGTTTCCCAGTCTGATACATCTCCCTCCTACCATCCCTGGGACTGCACTGCTTCCCGCAGCACGGCCGAGTTCCCACTGGCCACCAGCTTGTGCTGACTGCACCTCTACACACAGCAGTGGTCACAGGGAACTTCCAGGTTCACTGAACCTACACACACAGGAGTAGGTAACACTCCCCTCCTTCCTAGATGAAGATGTAAATCGAAGAGGTAGTTTATTCTCAGCAGCCACCCACCTGAGCGCCTTTCGCTGGCGAGACCCCCGGGAGGACACGAGGCACAGGCACCTGCCACTCACCCTGTGCCTTGCTAAACAAACTGTGGGAGGACGGTCAGCAAAGGGAGAGGATGGGTGGAAAAGGAGAGCTGGGGGAGACAGGATTAAAGAGCTGACAATGCATAAGCAGCCCAGCACTGCCAGAAATACAGGCTGCTGCACCACGGATCTGGAGGTCTGTCCCTAACAGAGAGGGACAGCAGTCTGTCTGTCTGTCTGTCTGTGCATGCACACAGGCACCCTGGGAGCTTGGGGAGTACATGGCTCAGGAGGGCTGCAGGTAAGGCAGAGTTAACAGCTTACATCACAGGCAGCAGTTTGGACAGACTGCTGTTTCTAAAGCTTACGCTGCTGCTCAGTTTGGCATGGTTTGGTACTATCTGAAGACTGGCTGGTCTGGCTTCAGCTGTATCTGCGTGCGTCTGCCTGTGTATTTGTGTATCTAGGAATGCACACCAATTTGGTTTTGTGTTCCTGTGGCAGGATTACTGGGTTAGGATCTCCTCTTATCTATGTCTGTGTACTGGGGTGAGTGGCAGGTTGGACCCGTGTTTTTGTGCATGCCCACAGAGACCTGGAAAATGTGTACGTTAAGCTGTGTACAATACTGCCTCGTAGGAGGATGCATACTGTGGATCATACGGATGTCTGGGCATGTATGGCTCAGAACCAGTGCTATGTATTCTGTGAACGCCAGGTACTTGTATCCACATTTTAAGATACACGTGAGTGCTGTATATTTGTATAGATATTCTGTGTGTATGTGTTGTTACAAACTTGGGGTGTCATTGTATCTCTGTGGTTGCTAGATATCCATATGGAACCTGTTAGTGCTGTGCACCCCTGCACATAGTTTGTACAGATGTGCATTTGCATTGGGGTCAGACATTTGTGTGTATGTTCTCTATACACATATCGGTTGTTCTTGCCTGTGTGAAGGTTGTTCATTTATGTAAATAGTTTGTATTTGTTTACATGATTTAAGTTTATATATGTGAATTTACGGAAGTTCCACTGAGTTCCAGGTTTTCACTTAGGTAGCATATGTACATTTTTGTAAGTTATTTGTTTATTCAGAAATTACACCTAATTGACATGCACCTGCATTAGTACTTCTTTGTGTCCCAGATTGCATTCTTGTGTTTTTAAATGCTATTGGCTACGTTTTATGAGTCTTTACTTATGCACAGAGCTTCTCTTTAAGTTTATTTGTGTGACTGCTGCGGATGTGTGCTTGTCTGACTGCTTATTTATGGGTACTTAGTTTGTGGTTGGATCTTCTCCTGTTTTTTTGACTCATTCTGGGAGGGGTTGTTGCAGCCAATGTGTCAGCAGGAGTCAGCAACAACTCCTCCCAGCGTCTCTGCCTGCTCCCGTGCCCACCTGCACAGAGGCTGCTCCCTAGCTGTGCTGGTCCTGTCTCTCTTGGGATCTTCTTGTTCGCTCTAGAGGAGCTGTACCCTGCATCTGCCTGCCTTCAGGGGGGCGACTGTCACATCTTCTCATGGACATAAGGACTGCAGGAGTCAGGGGGAGCACGGGGCCTGGATCCATGAGGATCTCAGGTTAATGACAAAATAAAATGCAAAAGGGATAGGAATAGCTGGCAATGGGCAGGCAAATTTAGAGGGTTGTTGGTGACATGGCAATGGGACACAGAACAGGTTTAACAGTGCATCAGGGTGCCATGGCAGTGGAAGATAGTGATGACACTGTTACGGGGTCAAGCGACATGGCAATGAGAGACAAGGGCAATTCTGCTATGGAATCAAGGTGACATGGCACTGAGGCACAGCAGGAATCAAGGTGACATGCCAGTGACAGGCTGACCTGCCAGAACAGTGAGGGCTGCGAAAGCTCCACCAAGAATCCATGTAATAAAGCAAAGGAGAACAGGAGGAGCAGAGTGGAGAAGCCCCGAGGAAACTCAGTGGACGCGTAGGGTGGCTGCAGAAGCCAGGTAGCCAGTGGTGCGGGACACGCTCTACCTGCACAAGATCAGTTGGATCCTGGTACCAAGGGCTGGGGCAGTCTGTTCGCAGTGGCTGTTGCATGGCAGTGATGGAGAGCAGGGATAAGGCAGTGATGACATCAGGTGATGGACGTATCCCGCGATGGCAGCCATGGACCATAGGGAGTGTGTGGGCAGGGGCACTATTCCCAGCTGCTGGAAAAACAAAGAACCTAACGGGCAGTAAAACAAAAACAAAGGAGACTTGGAAGCACCTGACAGCCCTAATTCATCACAGCCCAAGATTTTTTTTTCCCCCTCATGTTCCCATTATATTTGTTTGTAAAAGTGGAAATCAATTTTGAAGGTAATTTTCTGGAAAGAATGGAAGGGAGGTGGGAGGGCCGGATAAGGCAGAGATGGCAAGAGGAAAAAAAAATTTAGGCCAGGCACAGCCCAGGGGCAGCTCTTGGCAAGGTGAAAGAAAATTGCATATTCAATCTCCATCCATGAATCTCCCTTGCTGCTGCCCGCCTCCTGCTCGAAAACAATGAAGGCTTTCTCCCCTACGCTGCACAACGCCTGAGTATCAGCGCTCACTTTAACTTCAGGGTCATTAATTCACCTGATTATTGCAGGAGAGGAGAGGGTTGCAGAGGCATCCGTTCTAAAGAGCCCTCCCTTAGCTCATCCTTTGATTAGTTTGGGGTGGGGGGAGTTGAGATAATGCGTTGTCTTGGACTCCGTTTAAAATGGGAGGGATTGAAGAGGGGGTGGAAGAAGGTAGCGGTGGAACGGGAAAGATGTGGCCCGGGTTGTTGTGGAAGGGAGGGTCTGAAAGTGCTCCCCCTCGCATCCTCTGCCGTGGTGTTATTGCAAATTAAAAGTAGCATGTTCCACTCTGCAGCTATCTCTCGGGGAGGGGAGGGGCATGGGTATATGTCGGCATGGGGATGGGGGGGATCTTATCATTGCTTCTTCAGCAGCCCAGCGTAGTGTCACCCTGTGAGGTGACATTTGAATTTACAATTCCGCTGAGAAAAGCCATTAATTCACAAATTAACATTTCTCCCTCTCTCTCTCTAGCTCTCTCTCTCTCTCTCTCTCTCTCTCTCTATCTCACATGGATGTGCAAGCAATTGAAAAGACAAAGGAAATAGCCTTAAGGAAGAGACTTTACTGCTACTCTGTCTGTGCAGAGATTGCTACTACTGCTTCTAGATAGATAAACCAATTACCTGAGCTGCTCTGTTCATGGCAGCCTGCTATTACCTCCTTTTGTAGAGCTGACTCCATTGCCGGATTACACTGTGTGTATCTCATTAATGTAAAGCAGCACGATACCGGGCACTGTCCCTGACCCTTCTTGCCAGAGCCCATTGCTCTGCCTTGGAAGAGGGAACTGGGAGAGGAGTTGAGAGCAGAGGCAAAGGTAGGCGCGAAGTATTTCCTAACACACAGGGATCGGGCCGCACAGAGAAGCCCCTGTAATAGCTGAGCCTAGAGGACTCGGGACTGCCCTGCCTTTCCTCCAGCTGCACTCGTGCAAAAATGTGCGTGGTAGACAGTTGTGGAGGTGTGACCAAGAAAGCTACAGGTACATAAGTGCAAGCGTAGCCGACTGCACCCAGGAACTAAGTGCCTCACAGGCACACGGCAGACCTCAGAATAGGAAGGCAAAGTGAGCGCTGCAGTTTCTGAACAGAGAGGACAGATTTCTCTGTAGCACATCCCCACTGAAATCTACTCCGTGACGCCTGGGGAGATGGTCTTGGCAGAGACGACCATTGGGAACTACTCCCCCACAGCCTGGTCCTTCTCTGACCTCATCCCGCTCTCTTTCTCACACGCTTGCTTCTGCTGTGAACACTTCAGCAGCACACATGCACAGCGTGGGCACGGCTGCACGCTGATGCCCCCCCAGCATGCGCGTGATGTTCCTCCCAGCAGCCCCAGGCATGCCAACAGGGTGTGCACAGGCCGTCGGCTCCCCAGACACCTGCAGGTGCTCCCTGCTGGCAGCCACCCCTGCCCTTTGTCCGCCCGCTCACACAACGGGATGCATCCTAGCAGCATGGTTTGCTTCAAGGCTTGCTGGTCAGTCTTTGCCCTGAAGGATTCCACTTATATAAAACTGGACAGAAATCTTCACAACAGGTTTTTCACCCCATAAGGGTTTGACAGGCCCTGTTCATGCCACTCTGCTAACTTCTGTGAAAGGCAGAAAGTGGCGGGGGGCAGCTCTCCGGGTGAAAGGTAAATGGACCAGAACTGCTCTTTGGGGAGCCGGGTACCCCTGTGCTCAGCACACGGAGCATGTGCCTTTCCTTGGCATTGCTGTAGCTCCTTAAATCTTTCTAAAAACTCAGCCTCTTAGCGAGAGCATCTGCCTCTCCGACACTCCCCGCGCCCCTCACGGCGCGCAGCACATGGCTGGGAGCAGCATCCCGCGGCGGGCGCTGGAAGACGGATCACAATCAGCGGAGGCATCGGCAGCAGTGCCAGTAATTCAAACCATCCTGACCGTTCAGTGAACCCGAACCTGCTGACCTTGACAGCACGAGACAGCAGCGGCCTCAGGAATCCCAACCTTTGCAGAGGCGTCGGCGGAGGATGGCTCGTGCTCCCTCCCGGTCTCTCTCTCTTTTCTCTCCCCGATCTTATCCCAGCAGCCAAGGGGGCCCAAGTGGCAATCCCCAGTGCACCAATTAGCTCCTAATTTGGCTATCTCTGCACTCCCAAGTCTATATCGTTGTAGTATTAAGCATCACTTGTTCATAGGCAGAAATCGTTCCTAGAGAGGGGTGTCTTCTTGGGCTAAGGAAAACACTGAGCACCTTGTTCTTGGTCAGGGCCAGAGAGAAACCCCCCCTCCTCCTCCTCCCCAAGCAGGGACTGCTGCTGTTTCAAAGGAAAGCTGGAGCTCTTTGCTTCCCTAAGTGATAGCATCAGATCCTCCAACCTTGTTTCACTGGATCCCAGGGGGAAGCAACAAGATCTCACCGCATGATTAGCCCGTGAGAATCCTGGCTGCACAGAGGAGGGCAAGGACATGACAAGTGCAGGGGAGAGAGGTAGAAAAAGGTGTGATTGATTTTGCCACAAAAACTTGAATTAAAGAAAAATGCGTTTTGTGAAAGTGTTAAGAACCTTTCAGGGAATACTGGATGAGGAAATCCAGCTACCTCTGTGGCTGCCAAGCTACGCCTGACATGAATAGCGTTTTGTGTTGGGTGAGCCTGGAGACCTCGCACGTGGAGGCCAGCCCTGACAGCAGTAGATGGCCTGGCAGAAGCAGCTATGGATACCTCTCTCTCCAGACATGGGAGACATTCTTCTGTCTCCAGCCACAGTTCTTGAAGGCGATTTTCCCATGCATCAAGAGGTACTAAATGCATTTCATGCCTATTTAAGGCTCTTTAAAATGTCAGGGTTTTGTCGAGGGGCCTAAAAATGATGCCTAGGAGCCTATTTCTCCTTTGTTTTTTCTTCATCCATTCAGTCATCCTAAAAGCTACATTCCACCAAGCTCAAGGAACAAAGTCCTCTTCCCACACAAGCCAACAACCACAGGGAGGTGCACAGGAGCTCAGTGCCTGACCTGAAGCTCGGTTGTAGATATCGCAATTTCAATGTGGATGTAAGCTAGGATTTCTTTCTTTCACTGGCTCTGCCTCTGCTGCAAGCTCAGAGGTGTTATCCTGCTTTTAAGCTAGGGGCCTGCACTGGGACAGGCTTAGAAGGCATCTGACTAAACCTTATTGAGCTGGTTACTGCATATGAAACATCCATGAATTCTTGAGGGCCTTCAAGCCCTCTCCTACATGTGTTATAAAGGACAGGCACATTTCCCCAACTAGTTTCCCAAAGGAGCTGATGTTTTTCACTTTGGCTTTTGGCGTCTGGTGCATAATGAGGTAGGCCTTGGACATAAGAGTCGACTTTGCAAGCAGATCAGATACATCCTAGATTTGGGGATAACTTCACTAAACCCCAGTGAAATAAATATTAAATATACCGCTGGCTAAGTCTCAAAGATACTTATGGCTTTTCTCTGCACTGCCTCTGTTGTTTGTGAAACTGATTGACTGGGTGCTGCTGATGACTGGGTACCCTCTTGTTTGTAGCCCACCTCTTCCAGTTTGGAACATATCTGACATACTTCTTTTATAGGGTCATATCAATATAGGATCTTTCATATATCACTAAGGGACTTTATATGAGTTCATGCAAAGAGATTCCAAATTACTAAGGATTTACAGTTATTACATGAATGAGCATTCAGAAAAAGAGTTTGCATGGTGCCAGTCCAAGCTGACTGCAGCATATTGCAGGCCTGTAGCTCTTTCACTGCACGGCATTTTAAAATTACCCATCCTATGTAATACATTGTTTATTAACCTGCTTATTCCATGTATCTCATTTGCTACTGAAATGCGGCTGATTCTGGGGTAGACCATGGCAGATGTTGAACAATACAGAGCATCAACATTGAAATTTTGCTGTGCCATGTCCAAATGAAACCACAGGAGAATTAAGATATGCTGTGGGTAATCACTCAGGCTGGATTTTGTTCAGGACAGCCAGGTTAATGTCTGCACTCTTGCAAAAAATGCCATGGGAATTTTAATGACTCTGAGTGATTGGAGCCTTTGTTTTATGGCACGTCAAAAATGGCAGCTCTAAAAACACTCTGCTTGAGCACTGGTTTAGTGCTGACTCAGAAGAGCTTCCAATAACATGATTCACTAGCATCTGGCTCAGGGGCAGGCACGGCCTTCTCTGACTTGTCAGGTTAAGGTAAAAGAGTGTGTGAGGGGAAAATAAGGTGGAGGGAAAGGAAAGGAAAGGAGAGTCTAGAACATGGGAAACAAAAGGAGATGAGGGGTTCAGATGCATATTGGTGGGGGACCAAGCCAGCAGAACCAAGCAGGCTGAAGAGGAATTTGGGTTTTCTAGACTGTGCCTTAGAGGCATCTATGGCCTGATTCTGATCTGCTGAGCCCTAGTGCTGGTGTCCTCTCAGGTGCCAGTGTGCTCTGCTGGATTCTCAGGGATTTCCAAGAAACTGGGCGATGAGGCTGGCCGGGAACAGCCCAGCCCTGTGCTCCCTCCCTTGTCTCTAGCGGTTCTGATAGCAGTGTTGATTTGCATGTCAGGCAAAGCACTGCTTGGGAAAAAAAAAACTCTGAGTGTGGCGGTGTCAGCGCTCGCTG